AAGGAAGGATATGTTTAGATAGGACTTGTCTTCTTCCTAGCTGTGTAACCTTGGGTAACATATTTAATCTTTGTGAGTCTTAGTTTTCTCATCTATAAAATGGAGATAATAAAAATGGTGATAATAATACAACCTTCTTTGAGAAGAAGTGCTAAAATTAAATATTCTGCAGTAAGCATTAGCACAGAGCCTGGTACCCATACCTAATACATTTTCAAGGATGTTAGCTATTGTTTGCTTTTAGTTAATTACTAGGTGCCAGACACTATAGAATCAGATAAGATGGAACCCTTACCAAAAAGGAACTTAGTCTGGTGGAAGAGTCAGACATGTATATATAAAAGAAAGATGTAGTAGTAAGAGAGTTTTGTGCTGTTACAGACAAAAACAGGGTAGAGAAACTTTTAGGTAGGAGGAACACCTGACCTAAGGAGTTGAGGAGCAGGATCAAAGTAGGCTCTTAGAAGAGGCAGTATCTAAGCTGAGACTTAAAGATGCAGAGGAGTTAAGAAAAGAGTTAGGGACATTTCAGAAAAGTGGAACAACATATACAAAAGCCTGGAGGTACGAGCATTTGGTGGAATTCTGGGTAATTGGAAGGGACGCAGTATGACCGGGGTATAGAGTACGTGCAGGGATGGGGCTCGGGAGTAGCTAGGTGCCAGATCCTCAAGGGAGATGTAGCTTGGACTTTATCTTGAAATTTGTGGCATAAGCTGTTGAATAATTTGTTAGAGGCATATATAATTTACATTTTAAAAGATCATTCTGGCAACAGTACAGAGAGCAGATTTAAAGGGGAAAGACTGGAGGTGGGAATTTTTTTAAAGGCTGTTTCAATAATGCAGGGGGAAAGTATCAGGTTCTGAAAAGGAGGTGGTACAAATTTAATGGAGAGTCTGTGGAAGGGTTGGCTTTAAAAGAAGAATGAACAGCATCTGATGATAGATTGGATATGGGCTCCCGGAGAAGGACCCAATAATAGTACTCAGATCTGTGGCTTTGGTGACTGAGAAGAACCAGATTTCCCAGAGAAAATGAATTGACTTTGGCATTTAGGATGTCTGTGCAAAATCCATGTGAAAATAAGGTGTGACTAGGAGTCAGCTCAGGCTTGGAGTCATCAACTGGGAAGTCAGGGATAAAATGAGGTGAAGGCCTTGGGGCAGGTGACATCACCAGGCAGTGAAAAGAGCTGGGTATTCATGGTACTCGGCTTAGGTACTCCAGACTGCTTGAACAAATGTAAAGTGTCAAGAGTATGGTCTCATTTAAATCCCATAACAACTCTATGAGGTAAGAAACAATCTCAGCGTTGCAGATGAGAACATTTCAGACTCTTAAGAGTTAAGTGATTTGCCCAAAGTGATTTTGCTACTGAGTGGCAGAGCTAGGATTTCGAATCCAATCTGTCTGATTTTAAAGCCCTTTTTTTCCCTATTATATCCTACTTCTTTGTAAACCTCAGCAGTTTAAATATCTGTGATCATGTGATCTTATTTTTCTTTACCTCTGCCTGCACCCTGGTTTAGTAGGACTGTGACACATCATTTTAAATAACCAGTTTCTCACTCATTTCCCCTGCTTCACTCCCAAACACATCTATGAGATTGCCTTTCCTATCAGATCGACTCATCCCAGTCAATTCTATTCCAACATCCACTTTGAAACAACAGGCCAACGGAAGTCCTCCACTCACCACTAAATGAGGTCTGTCCTCCTCAGCTTGGCATTCAAGGCTCAAAGGCACATCATAAAATGAAGACTGTTGAAAACTTTTCCATATTTCCAACTTCTCATCAGCACATATTCATGCCTTTGGGTGTCATCTATATGTGGATATAAATGCAGTGGTCTCATTGTGTTCCTTATACTATTTTATTGTAGTGCTTATTATTTTAGTGCTTAGAGTAAATCTTTTTTATTTGCTCTGTATCGTCTTTATAAAAATAGTTTTGTCTTTGTGATGGAATCAACTTGGATGTCTTCTGACCTTAGTTCCCTTTCCAGTGTAAGGGTTCGTTATACTCCGTTCCTAATGTGATGAGCCAGCCTCTGCTCTGACACTTTCTAGAGGGATCCTTTTCTTGAGGGGAGAAGAGGATAGAAATTCTAATTGTTAGAAACTTCTTATCATTGAGTCAAAGCCTCCCTTCTTTTAACATCTGTTTGTTTCCTAGGAACAACAGATAAATGAGTTATTTCTCCTCTGCCTTATGAACAGGCATTTAAACACAGTTTTTATGTCTCGCCTCAGGTTTCTCTTACATGACCCAAATAATCTCTTGCTTGGAGCTTTTCTCCTGTGATAACTGGCAAACTTTACCCTCCACTATTCCCTTGCCCTCCTGAGAATCTTGCAGTTTGATCAGTGCTCATCTAAAGCACAGGGCATAAAACAGCACAGCACTTCACAGAAAGCAGTGCAACATTAGTTCTTTGATTATGGCTTGATGATTGTACCTGAAAAGCCTGAGAGTGCTTCAGATCTACAGCAGATGTGTCACACTTTGCATTCATTCCGTTAAAAAAAAACCCAGATATTATTTTATATAGTTCCATTTAAGCCAACCATCATCTGCTGTGCAGTTGATTTTCTTTAAATGTAGAACCAATTCTCCTAGTTATATTTCAACTTCATTTTGATTTTTTTTTTTTTGAGATGGAGTTTCACTCTGTTGCCCACGCTGGAGTGCAGCGGCACTATCTCAGCTCACTGCCACCTCTACCTCCTAGGTTGAAGTGATTCTCCTGCCTCAACCTCCCAAGTAGCTGGGATTACAAGCATGTGACACCACATCCAGCTGATTTTCATATTTTTAGTAGAGACAGGGTTTTTCCATGTTGGCCAAGCTGGTCTCAAACTCCTGACCTCAGGTGATCCACCCGCCTTGGCCTTCCAAAGTGCTGGGATTACAGGCACGTAATCACCACCGTGCCCAGTCCCAAGTTCCTGGTGAAAATGTCAAAAACTGACTTCCCACTCCACCCATCAAGTTAATCAGTGCTATTTATGAATGGTTCTGTTAACCACTGTTCTGTCATGCCATCTCCTGTCTCTTCATCTTATCTGCAGAGATCTCATTTGTACATGCAACACATTTTTATTTAGCACAGGTTTAGCACATGTGCAAGAAGGCGCTAGGAATACATTGAAGATAGCAGTGCCTATCTTGTGGTGCTAATAGTTTAGCAGCATCATGAAGTATTTTCTAAATGCTTTGTGGAAATCAAGTTACACAGTTATCTATGATATTTCTCCTCATCTGGTACCATATCAGAAAAGGGAATGAGGGATTGCTTTTTGTAGATTTCATATTGCCACTCATTATCTTCTGTCACTTAAAATTGGGATTCACTCCTTTTGTCTTTATACCTTTCATGGTTTCACAGTTAGCTTTGAATTTTAGAAGTCTCCGGAGTTCATTTGTGCCCTTTTTGTGTAGCCATATTTTTGGTGGTGTTTATGTTTTTATTTTTATTTTTTGAGATGGAGTCTCACTTTGTCGCCCAGGCTGGACTGTAGTGGCATGATCTTGGCTCAGTACTACCTATGCCTCTCAAGTTCAAGCGATCCTCCTGCCTCAGCCTCTTGACTAGCTGGGATTACAGGTGCCCACCGCCACGCCCAGCTAATTTTTATATTTTTAGTAGAGACTGGGTTTTACCATGCTGGCCACACTGGTCTCGAACCCTCAATTTCAGGTGATCCGCCTGCCTCAGCCTCCCAGAGTGCTGAGATTACAGCTGTGAACCACAGCACCCAGCTTGGTGGTTATATTTAAACACGTGTTTTTCATTTTCACATTATCAGGATTGTTTTTTGTTTTATAGTAAACTTAATGAAAAATTTCTGTTCACACGTAGCCATTTTCACTCCCCTCATCTTTGTCATTCAGATTTTTACTTATATTTTCAAATGATCTTTCCTAAAGAGGAGAGTTGAGTCTGTTTAGGTTTTCTTTTCTTTCTTGAGTTCTTAAAATGCCACAGTTGATTTCTCCAGGATCCTGGTACTTTTCACTTCCTTTCTTTCCTAAAGAGGAGAGTTGAGTCTCCTTAGGTTTTCTTTTCTTTTTTGAGTTCTTAAAATGCCATAGTTGATTTCTCCAGGATCCTGCTCCTTTTCACTTCTTCTTTTTAAGTTTGCCAGAATTAAGCTCAGATGAACATAAAACTTTGATATTTTGTCTATTTTCTTTTTTTTGTTTGTTTTCTTCTTTTTTGAGACAGACTCTCACTCTATTGCCAGGCTGGAGTGCAGTGGCATGATCTCCATTCACTGCAACCTCTGCCTCCCGGGCTCAAGCAATTCTCAGCCTCCCAAGTGGCTGGGACTACAGCATACACCATCACGCCCAGCTAACTTGTTTTTTTAGTAAAGACAGGGTTTCACCATGTTGACCGGGATGAAACTCCCAACCTCAGGTGATCCGCCTACCTCAGCTCCCAAAGTGCTAGGATTACCAGTATGAGCCACCGCACCTGGCCCATGTTTTATCTATTTTCTGAGGGATTAAACTGTCAACAGTGCAGCATGTTCATACAAAGAGTGGATATCTGCATAGTCGGCAGCTCGCCTACCTTATTCTGAGGTGTGCGTTCTCTCATCAGTCAGGTGTCATTCACATTCTTCCTCTAGCCAGTCTCCACCACTGCGGCCTTTTTGCCTGCTCTTCTTTCCCCTTTGGTCCATTGCCTTCCTCTATACAGTCTTACTCACATTATTGGATTTGCGGATGGATGTTTGCTATCTTGAACTTGGGAGGATTCTCTGCCTTTTTGTGTAGATGCATCTCTGTAAGGCAGCATATTTTCTATAGATGCCATAGTCTATTGTTTACCCATCCCACCAAGTCTTGGCAATTTTCATGAGATTTTATTTATCTCCTTTAGTTCTTTTTTACTATTGTGACTTTTAAATAATAGTGCCAAGCACACTAATGTTCAGTAAGTAATATTTATGATTAATCTCAAGAAGTATTTGCCTTCTCTTTTAGGCTGTGAGGATATCATTGCTGAGAGCATCTCATTAGATACCTTAATTGCCATCCTCAAGTGGAGCTCTCATCCATATGGCTCTAAATGGGTGCACCGACAAGCTTTACATTTCCTCTGTGAGGAATTTTCCCAGGTCATGACTTCGGATGTTTTTTATGAACTCAGCAAAGACCATCTGCTTACTGCTATCCAGTCTGACTACCTACAGGTAATCATTTAAACACCTCTCAAATTCATTGTCATTCATATGTGCACCAAGAAATCCATCTGTGCTCTATTATTCTTCCACCTAGGGTAGGACAGGGGAAGAGAAATAGGCTGTGATCAGACCACCCAGGACTGCCCTCTTCATAGTTGTACAGCAGAAGCCTTCTGTCTCACTGGTTCTTTATGTACACTACTACCATGACTCAACACTGAACAAGCCCAGGTCCCAGCCAAATGCACCAAAAAGAGATTGAGGCAGTAGGCAAGGTCAGAAGCACGTCCCAACAGTGATTTTCTTGACTTCTGTTAATGTAGCTTCTCTATAGTGGTTTCTTACTTTTGGTACAGTATCACATACTTAGATTGTAGACAGTAGCTTCAGCAGCACCAAATAAAATTAATATGTAATTTCTGATCTGCTCAACTGGTTATCAAACCTCAGTGCATGTATTCTTCCAAAGTATGATAATGTTTTCAACTACTTAGGTTTAACCAGAAGTAGTTTTTAGCAAATTCTTGTGTTCTTGACTTAAATGTCAATTTAATTTGGAAATTTAAATTAATAATAGATTTTATATATTACAGAAGTAAATACTTGCAGGCAAAGTATATTCAAGCTTAATTTTTTTTTTGCATTGGCTGTCTGAATGTTATACTAAAAACTGTACAACTGTTTTAATGCTATTGAAGACATAAACCCATTGAGCCACTTCCTATTTCTTTGTATTTGTACTAGAAAATGATAAAAATGCTACCATTTCAGTCAGAAATGCAGTGGAGAGTTAAACAATCCACTCAGCATCTGTGCTTTTCCTTTGTGTGTTGCTTTGATTGCAGTACAGATGTCACACTTGGGCTTGATTTATGGAGAATCTTTGTTCATTAACCTTGTGTCGTTGTCCTGATCAAGACTAGATGCTTTATGTTTGTGTTAGAAGTTGTTAGTTCTCGCCGGGCGCGGTGGCTCAAGCCTGTAATCCCAGCACTGTGGGAGGCTGAGGCGGGTGGATCACGAGGTCAAGAGATCGAGACCATCCTGGTCAACATGGTGAAACCCCGTCTCTATTAAAAATACAAAAAATTAGCTGGGCATGGTGGCCTGTGCCTGTAATCCCAGCGACTCAGGAGGCTGAGGCAGGAGAATTGCCTGAACCCGGGAGGCGGAGGTTGCAGTGAGCCGAGATCGCGCCATTGCACTCCAGCCTGGGTAACAAGAGCGAAACCCCGTCTCAAAAAAAAAAAAAAAAAAAGAAGTTGTTAGTTCTCTTAGATTATTGTCTTTAGGAGCTTTCTATTGCTTCTTAGAAAGTAAAGCGAAACAAAACAAAAAACTTGGAGAGCAGCCTAGATTTGCTCTAAGATTTTAAATAAAACACAAAGAAATGAGGGATACATTATCATTTCACAGATTGCACTTCACCAACCAGTAGAATACCTTGTAGAGATTGTGGTTTCTTCTGCCAAAACAAGTTGACTGACTTGTTTTTCCTGTCCCTCCAGCAGATAGTAGTCACTCTGTGTATACTCTATACTTATATTTTCATTTACTTATCTCTATCTTGTTCCAAAAGAGAATTTAAGGCAGCTATGTAGAAACCACATAGTAAGATAAATTTGAAATAGGAAGTGGGGTTGCTTGAGGCCAGAAGTGCGAGACCAGCCTCGGCAACAGGTGAGACCCCATCTCTACAAAAAAAATTTAAAAAATTAGCTGGATGTGGTGGCACACACTTGTAGTCCCAGCTGCTCAGAAGGCTTAGGTGGGGAGAATCCCTTGAGCCCAGGAGGTTGAGGCTGTAGGGAGCCATGATGGCACTACTGCACTCCAGCCTGGGCAATAGAGTGCAACTCTGTCTGAAAAGGAAAACCTAAAATGAAAAAATAAAATAAGAAGGGAGCAGATTACAAAAAAAGAAGATAGAAATGAAATTTTAAAATTAGTTGGAGCCAAGAGTGGGGTTACTGGATAAAATATATGTAATGCAGTCTTGTGTATTTCCTATTGGTGAACCACAGATTTAACACTAAAACTTCAAACAGCCAATGGAAAGAGTGAAACATGGTAAGTTGCATGCTGTATTTACATTATGACCTATGAAAAGTTCATAATGAAATTAACCTCTTATCTAATTTCACTAAAATAAATATAACCCACTTTTTATTATAGGCAAGTGAACAAGATATCCTTAAATATCTGATTAAATGGGGAGAGCATCAGTTGATGAAAAGAATAGCAGATAGAGGTAAGCTCAGAAAAATAGCTTGCACTAGTTACCTTGTATAAATTTTTGGTGGTTCTTATATTCCCAGAAACTTACAGAAATGCATGTCGCACATCAGTCTTGAAAATTGACACGGTTGCTTGGTAAAAATGGAAGTTTTTATGATCAGTAAAATCCTTTAGTGGACAGGGTGTAGTTTATTAAATATATCAGAAAGTCTTATTTTGCAGCTTTAAAAGAATTTTTATGTTCTTAGGTGCTTAATACATGTTGACTGATTCATGGAAGTATTAGAATGAAAAAATTCATCTAATTTCATATAATGACTAAAGTATTACAAAAGCATAATGTTGGTAAAAATGTGGAATTAGTGTTGATGGTTGCACAACAATATGACTATAGTAAGAGGATTGAATTGTATGCTTTAAAATGTTTTAAATAAATTTTGTGTTATGTGAATTTTAACCTCAATTTAAAAATATGAATACAGGCTGACCTGAGGTCAGGAGTTTGAGACCAGCCTGGCCAACATGGCGGAACCCCACCTCTACTAAAAATATAAAAATTAGTGGGAAGTGGTGGCACATGCCTGTACTCCCAACTACTCAGGAAGCTGAGGCATGAGAATCACTTGAGCCTGGGAGGCAGAAGTTGCAGCGAGCCAATATTGCGCCACTGCACTCCAGCCTGGGTGACAGAGCAAGACTTCGTCTCAAAAAAAAAAAAAAAAAAAAAAAAAGGCTGGACACGGTGGCTCACGCCTGTAATCCGAGCACTTCAGGAGGCCAAGGCAGGTGGATCACCTTAGGTAGGGAAATCGAGACCAGCCTGACAAACATGGAGAAACCCCATCTCTACTAAAAATAAAATTAGCCAGGCATGGTGGCACATACCTGTAATCCCAGCTACTCTGGAGGCTGAGGCAGGAGAATCACTTGAACCTGGGAAGTGGAGGTTGCAGTGAGCCAAGATTGCTCCATTGCACTCCAGCCTGGGCAACAAGAGTGAGACTCTGTCTCAAAAAAAGAAAAAAAGTTGTGGAAGGTAAAAGAGAAATAAATAATACTTCTGAATGACTTCCTAGTGGAGTCACTGCAAAAGAGAAGAAGGAAGCATTATATGTCAAAGACTGGGCTTTCAACTTTAGAAATTTATGATTCTACAGCAGCCTTTTGTTTGTGTCTAGGGTTAGCCCACCCACCTGTCCTCCTTCCCTCACACGTAGCTGAGTTCCTTTATATACTGAACCCAAATTTAGAATTTTTAATTAGAAAAATTAAATACAGATTTCCCTTTCCTGACACCTTTCGATAGCTTTATTTAGATATAATTTACATATCTTAAAGTTCACCAGTTTAAAGCGTTCAAGTCAGTGGATTTTAGTACATTTATAGAATTGTTCTGTTACATTTTTAAATATAAAAAATGTTGTGCTAAACCTGCCTTCAAGCTTTTTATGGTGTTTCTTTAATATGCTACTATCTGAGCTCTAGGAAACAAAAGCAGTCCTTCTATTTTATTTCTCCAAATTTATTTTTCTGTGGCTGACAAAAGCCTTTATCAATTCTCAGATTTGAATTTTTTTGTTTTTTATTTTATTTTATTTTATTTCAAAGAGCAGCAAAGTTATGATTTTTTATTTATTTATTTATTTTTTTTTTTTGAGATGGAGTCTTACTCTGTCTCGCAGGCTTGAGTGCAGCGGTGTGATCCTGGCTCACTGCAGCCTCTGCCCCCTGGGTTCAAGCGATTCTCCTGCCTCAGACTCCTGAGTAGCTGGGACTACAGGCATGTGCCACCACACCCAGCTAATTTTGGTTTCTTTAGTAGAAACAGGGTTTTGCTATGTTGGCCAGGCTGGTCTTGAACTCCTGACCTCAGGTGATCAGCCTGCCTCAGCCTCCCAAAATGCTGGGATTACAGGTGTAAGCCACCATGCCTGGTGAGTTATGAGTTTTTTGAAATATGCAAATCATTACAGTTGATTTAGAAAGTTTTTTAAATGCCAGTATACAATCAGTTCTCATTCATAGCTTTTATATTTGTCAACTTACCTAAGTCACCAAAATTTATTTATATCCCCAGAATCTTTCACAGTCATTCCTGGACATGCACAGAGTAGCCAAAAGCTTGGTCTCTCAAAAAGCACATTTGGCTGAATTCTAGCAAGACAGAGACACTCTGCCTTCTTGTTTCAGATCTCCTGCTATAATCAAGTGTCCTTTCCACAGTCTACCAAGTGCCATATTTTTTACATTTTTATGTTTTTGTGATCTCACTGTTTAAGATGGCTCCCAGGTATAGTACTGAAGTGCTGTGTAGTGTTCCTGAGAACAGGAGGGCTGTGGTGTACCTTACAGAGAAAATACATGTGTTAGATAAACTTTATTCAAGCCTGAGTTATAGTACTGTTGATTATGAGGTTAGTGTTGCTGAAGCAGCCGCGTACATTAAATAAAGTGTCTTTAAACAGAAACACATAAAACAAAGACCTGTCAGCCATGCGTGGTGGCTCATGCCTGTAATCCTAGCACTTTGGGAGGCCAAGGCAGGTGGATCACCTGAGGTCAGGAGTTCGAGACCGGCTTTGCCAACATGGTGAAACCCCGTCCCTATAAAAAACACAAAAATTAGCCGGGCATGGTGACAGGTACCTGTAATCCCAGCTACTCAGGAGGCTGAGGCAGGAGAATTGCTTGAACCCAGGAGGCGAAGGTTGCAATGAGCCGAGATCACAACACTGCACTCTACCTTGGGCAACGTAACAAGACTTCGTCTTAAAAAAATAAAATAAAATAAAATAAAGGTAGTTTCCAAACCAGGTTAGAGTGGAAGGTTCTCCTGCAGGGATAAGAAGGAAATTAAGTAAACTAGGCCATAGCTTTGTTTCAGTCAGTTTTATATATAAGGATTTTATATATAAGGATTCTACACTTACCTGTCACATATTTGGGGGTTTCACGTAGGATTTTTATATGAAAACAGGGTGCCACTACTTTAAGAAAAATATTTTGAAAAGCAAAATTCCTTAAATAAGTATGAAGCTAAATCATAGCTAGGCAAAGGAAAAAAAAGAACTCTTTTCTACACAGTTAACAACAGTTTTATTCCGAGTTAATACAGAAAAATCTTAGCTTCTCAGAAACAATCAGTTCTCTCTCTCTCTCTCTCTTTCTCTTTTTGTCACACACACACACACACACACACACACACACGATTTAAGGAAGGTAACAGTTTTCCTATAGAATATTTGAAAAAAAAATCCAGCATTTATATTCATTAATAATAAAGATTTTATTCTGTGTTAATTTTCTTAAGAAAAAAAAAATTACAGGCCCCTAGATTAAAGACATGATTAAAGATTTCCAAAATTAATGTAATTTTTCTTCTCACCTCAATATTATAAGCATACATGCATTTCAGATTGTCTTTCACTAATGCCCCGTGAAGAAAACATTCTCTGCTCTGGACAATGGACATATATTACATGTCAAAGATCAGAGCGTCTACTTGTATGCAGTAACATTCCCATATTGTAGAAATTTGGGAGATTTTCATAAGAATCTTAAAACTAAATAAAGAATGTTAGGCTTTGCTGCCTCAAACACCAAGTGATTAACATGTTGTTAAATTGCTGTTACACATATGTAGGCTAATGAACATACTGATAACCTACAGTAACCAGAAATAGCATATGCCCTGCAGTGACCTTCTAATACTAAAAACTGGTCACAAAAGTGAGAAAGCTTTTTAAAAGCCCCTGATAAAACTAGATTTTAATAGATTGTCATCTTTTCTCTTTGAGTATGTCTACAGAAAGGAATCCTTTATTCTTTACTGTAGAGCAGTGATAAAAGAATGTTATTGTATCGTTGATACCATGCTTTTCCTTTATCCAAGAACATTCCTATTAAACAAACATCTTATGACAGAAAAATAATTGATTTATAACCCTTTTTAAAGCAGAGGCACATAAGTCTATTGAGTGGTCCTGTGAGTGTATGTGCTAGAGAACAAAGCAAACCTCTCTTCAGAACATTGGATTTGGTTGGAAACTTTTCATTTTCTGTCTCGTAGAGCCAAACTTACTGAGTGGCACTGCCCATAGTGTGAACAAAAGAGGTGTAAAAAGACGAGACCTGGACATGGAAGAGCTCAGAGAGATCCTTTCTTCTCTCTTACCTTTCGTGCGAATTGAACACATCTTACCTATAAACAGTGAAGTCTTAAGTGATGCAGTAAGTGTTTTTCTCCATATATTCCTTTCATGAAAAGAAAAATGCCAGGCGTATGTTTTTATTCATTGTAAATAATTTCTCCTACTAATAGAGTATTGTGAAGCTGTAAATCCTGTGAGGACAGAGACAGATGTCTATTGTGTGGAATGTGTCCCCAGTGCAGTTTGTACATAGTATAAATGTCTGTTACACAGTAAGTTCAAATGTTTGCTGAATGAGAGTTGAGTGGGTACATCAGTCTTACTCGTGCAAGAGCATTCTTTCTAGCGGAGTTAATACAGTAATTTAAGTGTAGATCAAGTAGACCATTATTCAGAAAGGAAACGGTAGAAACTGCCTTTGGAGACTCTTCAAGAACAGCAGTGAATTGGAGAGCAGTGGAGTGGAGGGATTGGTTCAATATAAAAAGAATGAATGGACCTGAAAATTATAGAGCTGATCTTGTTACTTTCATAACTTTTTAAACAGTGAATTTTTTTTTTTAATTAATAGAATTGGCTGGGCACAGTAGCTCATGACTGTAATCCCAGCACTTTGGGAGGCCAAGGCTGGCGGATCACCTGAGGTCAGGAGTTTGAGACCTGGCCAACACAGTGAAGCCCCATCTCTGCTAAACATACAAAAAGTAGCTGGGCATGGTGGCGGGCGCCTGTAATTCCAGCTACTCAGGAGGCTGAGGTGGGAGAATCGCATGAACCTGGGAGATGGAGATTGCAGTCAGCTGAGATTGCACTACTGCACTCCAGCCTGACTCCATCTTTAAAAAAAAAAAAAAAAAATTGATAGAATTGCTTAAATTCATGGATGGGAAAAATAAATAATACTAGGTCTTCACCCATTGACTTATAAACTTAATGTAGTGCTTATAAACATCATAATAGTTTTTATTTTTAACTGTACAGGAACATTATAAAAGTCATCTGGAAAAAGAACTGATAAGAAATTTTTTAAACTTCTTTTAAAAGGACATAAGGGCCAGGCATGGTGGCTCACGCCTTAATCCCAAAACTTTGGGAGGCTGAGGCGAGCAGATTACGAGGTCAAGAGACCAAGACCATCCAGGCCAACATGGTGAAACCCCGTCTCTACTAAAAATACAAAAGTTAGCTGGGTGTGGTGGTGTGTGCCTGTAGTCCCAGCTACTCAGGAGGCTGAGGCAGGAGAATCACCACTCAAGAGGAGGTTGCAGCGAGCCGAGGTTGCTCCTCTGCACTCTAACCTGACGACAGAGCAAGACTCTGTCTCTAAATAAATAAATAAATAAATAAAGACATAAGAAGGGATAACTTCTAAAACGTAAAACGTTTTAAATGCTAATATTTTATCAATATGCTAATATTTTATCTGTGATGCTAACATAGGAGACAAAATTGTCAAGAAAAAGTCTTAGTTAATATAGGAATTAAATAGGATGGGCGCAGTGGTTCATGTTTGTAATCCCAGCATTCTAGGAGGCCAAAGCGGACAGATCACCTTAGCCCAGGAGTTCAGCATCGGCCTGAGCAACATGGCAAGACCACATCACTACAAAAAAATGTTAAAGAATTTAGCTGGGTGTGGTGGTATGTGCCTGTAGTCCCATCTACTTGGGAGTCTGGGTAGGAGGATCACTTGAGCATGGGAGATCAAGGCTGCAGTGAGCCATAACCAGGCAACAGAGTGAGACTCTGTCTCAAGGAACAAAAAGAAAAAAAACAGAAAATATAATAATAAACTATCACAGATCAATGTGGTGCTAGATTAACTGATATTAACTGATTACCAGAAGAAGAAATTCATTGAAAGTTAAACCATTATTTCACTGGCACACAAACTTAATCCTTGTTGGAATGAAAAATTAAATACTAAATTGAAACATGGAAGAACTAGAAGAAAACAATATTGTTTTCAAGAAATATTTATGGGCCACTCTGGGCATACTGCCTATGGGGTAGCCCTGCTCCATAGGGAGCAGCAATAAAAATAAATAAAATTAAAACTTAGGCCAGGCATGGTGTCTTATGCCAGTAGTCCTAGCACTTTGGGAGGCCAAGGCGGTTGACTCACAAGTTTAGGAGATTGAGACCATCCTGGCTAACAGAGTGAAACCCAGTCTGTACTAAAAATACAAAAAATTAGCCGAGTGTGGTGGCATGCGCCTGTAGTTCCGGCTACTCGGGAGGCTGAGGCAGGAGAATCACTTGAACGTGGGAGACGGAGGTTGCAGTGAGCTAAGATTGCACCACTGTACTCCAGCCTGGGCAATAGAGCAAGACTCTGTCTCAATAATAATAATAATAATAATATTTTATAAAAGAAATACTTGTGAACTCTCATTAGAAAAGAAGGTTCAGCCTCACTAATTGCACACACACCCACGAAAGCAAAATAAAATAGTAAGTTATTTTTTCACCTATTAAGGTAGTAGTTATGGTACCACGACACAACGGAATATTTTGCTACCTTGAGCAGTTGTTATAAAGACTATATAGTGGCCAGGCGTGGTGGCTCACACCTGTAATCCCAGGACTTTGGGAGTCCGAGGCAGATGGATCACCTGAGGTCAAGAGTTCAAGACCAGCCTAGCCAACATGGTGAAACCCCATCTCTACTAAAAAATACAAATATTAGCCAGGCATGGTGGTGCACACTGTTAATCCCAGCTACTCGGGAGGCTGGGGCGTGAGAATCTCTTGAACCCAGAGGCAAGCCAAGATTGTGCCACTGCACTCCAGCCTGGGTGACAGAGCAAGACTCTATCAAAAAAAAAAGACAAGCGAGCCACGGTGGCTCATGCCTGTAATCCCAGCACTTTGGGAGGTGGAGGCGGGCAGATCACCTGAGATCAGGAGTTCAAGACCAGCCTGGTCAACATGGTGAAACCCCATCTCTACTAAAAAATACAAAAAATTAGCTGGGCATGGTGGCACGCACCTATAATCCCAGCTGCTCCGTGGGGCTGAGGCAGGAGAATCGCTTGAACCTAGGAGGTGGAGGTTGTGGTGAGCAGAGATTGTGTTATTGCACTCCAGCCTGGGAAACAAAAGTGAAACTCCATCTCAAAAAAAAAAAAAAGAGAGAAGAGAAGGATGATATAAAGTGTATATTTTTATGAATTCTCAAATTCATCTGTGTAAAAATTCATTTGGAAAAGACTCATCCAGGCTCCTGTAATCCCAACACTTTTGGAGACCAAGTCAGGTGGATTGAGTTCAGGAGTTGGAGACCGGCCTGGTCTGCATGGTGAAACCCTGTCTCCACCAAAAAATATGAAAATGAGCTGGGCATGGTGGCGTGCACCTGTAGTCCCAGCTACTTGAGAAACTGAGGTGAGCAAATTGCTTGAACCCAGGAGGTGGAGGTTGCAGTGAGCCAAGATCTAGCCACTGTCCTCCAGCCTGGGCAACACAGTGAGACCCTGTCTCAAAAAAAAAAAAAAAAGAAAAGACTGGAAGGAAATATATCAACATTACACTTGTAATAAGAGTATTGACTTTTTTTTCTTTTCTCTCTTTTCTAAATACTAGATAATGCTGTATTTTACTAGTTAAAAGTAACTTTAACTAATGAAGCTGTTTATTATATTTAATGAGAGTAATATTGGAGAAGCAATTTTTGGTTTTGTTTAAAACCTGGGACTCAAATCAAATTGAACCCTATATATAGCTTAGAAAAGTATTTTAGAACTTTGGTTAGGAAACACATACCTCTGCTCTTTTTTTTTTTTTTTTTTTTTTAGATGAAGCCTCACTCTTTTGTCCAAGCTGGAGTGGTACAGTAGAGTGAGTGACCCAATCTTGGCTCACTGCAACCTCCACCTTCTGGGTTCAAGCAATTCTCCTGTCTCAGCCTCCTGAGTAGCTGGGACTACAGGCATGTGCCACCATGCCTGGCTAATTTTTTTGTATTTTTTAGTAGAGACGGGGTTTGACTATATTGGCCAGGCTGGTCTTGAATTCCTGACCTCAGGTGATCCACCCGCCTCAGCTTCCCAAAGTGCTGGGATTACAGGCGTGAGCCACCATGCCTGGCCTATGACTCTGCTCTTAATTCTGTACTTAATACAGTCTAAGTCCCCAATAAAAGTTTGCCAATAATGGCTCTTAACTTTCATGTTCTCAGTATGTGCTAAGCACTGTGGCAGGTGCTTTCATCTGCATTGCCTTCATTTAATCCTCACACCACCTTAGGAAGTAAAGGTACTTGATATAGAATTTCCTAGCATCAATCAGGAAACAACGGGGATACCTCATTCAGTTAGTTGTGCACTGCCTTACCTCCAGGGCCATACAGTAGCCCTTAAAGTGAGGCCCAGGTAAGGTAGATGTCCCTGGTCACATGGCTGTTAAATGTGGGAGTTGAAGTTTGAGCTAAATCTGCCTTGCCCCAGAGCCTGTGTTGCTAAGCACTGTACTCGCCTTCTGTATCCCTGCGCTGTGCATTCAGGCCTATGTCAGTGTTCTTGTTTTGTCTTGGGAGTTGGGTGGATACTAAATTTGTTCCTAGATGAGTAAGGAAGAAAGAAAATTGGTTTTCATTAAGAGTTCTGATGTTTATCCAACTTATCACATTTCAATTAATGTGTCTGTTTTTAAAAATATCATTCCTCTATTTAGAGAAAAATGGGAAATTATGGTATTTCTATTGCAGAATCTTTTAAATATTATTAAAAATGCGAATTTCTGAATTTCACATACATTCCTAAATTTTTATTTAAATGATAAAATTTGCATATTTTTGTTTACAGTTATAAATATTTTTGTCCATTTATCTTAGTACTATTTGTGGCACTACACAGATTTCTATCTAAAAAAAAAATTTGTTTTTTAGCTGAAAAGAGGCTTGATTAGTACTCCTCCATCAGATATGCTTCCTACAACAGAAGGTGGGAAGTCAAATGCCTGGTTACGGCAAAAAAATGCTGGCATCTATGTTCGTCCTCGACTCTTCTCTCCCTATGTGGAAGAAGCAAAGGTAACGAAAACCGTTTGAAGATAGTAGACTACTTTATTACAAACTGTGTGCACAAAGTGGTTTGTTGTAGTAGTATTTAAATATTTGGAAATAACCTATATTTTCAACAATAGGGAAAATGAAAGTAAATTCTAGTTTGACTACTCAACAGAATAGTTTTCTAAAATGTTTAATTTTAATTAAGCATGTTTTAAAAACTTTGGTTATATTAAAATGTGTTTTATGTTTGCCTCATTTTAGTTGCCTTGCAAATTGTTACCACTTACTGAAAATGGTTGTCTCTATTTTGTGATCTTGAGGATGGGGGAGATGTTCTGAAAGAAAATTGCCCACATTTTGTCTTTCTTCATAAATTAAAGGAATGCTTCGACCTCTTATAACATAGTTCTGTAATAGCTGACTGTTGGGAATTATGTTTTGTTTTAGAATAAATGCACAAACTAAGAAAAAATGTCAGGCCAATTAAGTAAATAGTTGCCATTATGTGTATTGTATGTAACATATAAAGAACTATCCAAGAAAATATGGTAATGTGAAAATGAAACATCTAATTTTTCTTTTTTTTTTCTTTTTCTTTTTCTTTTTTTTTTTTAAGACGGCGTTTCATGGTGTTGGCCGGGCTGCTCTTGAACTCCCGACCTCAGGTGATCCGCCCACCTTGGCCTCCAAAGTGCTTGGATTACAGGCGTGAGCCACCACGCCTGGCCAGAAACATCTAATTTTTATTAGATGTATTCAGCCATAAGTACTTTCGGGGATCCATCCTGGGCAACATGGTAAAACCCCGTCTCTACCAAAAACTAATAAATTTAGCCGGTTATGATGGCGTGCACCCTGATTTCTGCTACTCAGGAGGCTGATGTAGGAGGATCACCTGAGCCTGGGAGGCAGAGGTTGTAGTGAGCCATGATTGTGCCACTGCACGCCAGCCTGGGTGACAGAGTAAAAACCTGTCTTAAAAAAAAAAAAAATTTTAAGTAGCCTTTTGAGGAACTGACAGTCTTTGCAAGTAAGAAATCACTATTAAGCTTTCTGAAATAAATTCAACAGATCAAATAGCGTGTATACTCAATGAGTATACAATCAAGTTGCCTCAAAATGTTTCTCATTTTTCGACCAGGTGTGGTGGTTCATGCCTGTAATCTCAGCACTTAGGGAGGCTGAAGCAGGAGGATCAATTGAGTCCAGGAGTTCAAGACCAGCCTGGGGCAACCTAATGATACCCTGTCTCTAATAAAAATAATAATAATAAATAGCCAGGCATGGTGGTGTGCTCTTATAGTCCCAGCTACTCAGAAGTCTTGAAGTGGGAAGGTTGCTTGAGCCTGGGAGATCAAGACTGCAGTGAGTGAGCCGTGATGACACCACTCCACTCCAGCCTGGGCAACATTTTTCTTTTTTCTTCAAAAAAGAAAAATTGGTTTATTTATCAGTCTCTTTAATTGATTATCAATCTTTGGGGTTTTTTTTATTTTTTTTTAAGATGGAGTTTCGCTCTTGTCACCCAGACTAGAGTACAGTTGTGAGCTCTTGGCACACTGCAACCTTCTCCTCCCAAGTTCAAGCGATTCTCCTGCCTCAGCCTCCCGAGTAGCTGGGATTACAGGCTCCTGCCACCATATCCAGCTAGCTTTTGTATGTTTATTAGAGATGGGGTTTCACCGTGTTGGCCAGGCTGGTCTTGAACTCCTGATCTCAGGTGATCTGCCCACCTCAGCCTCTCAGAGTGCTGGGATTATAGGCGTGAGTCACCACAACCGGCCCTGATTATCAATCTTTAATATTTTTTATTTTGAGCACTTCCTTGGATTTGTTATTTAGCACATGTATACATTGTTTCCTTTATTATAATATTGTGTGTAACTTATTTCTGATTAATTTTATATCCTTCTTTCACATTTCAAGTACTTCTGATTAAAAGCAGACTTTTCAAAAGATGGTTATGTCTTTTCAAAGATGCTCCAAAGAGTTTTTAAGTTAAAATGGCAGGGGTACTTTCTTTCACCACTAATACTAACATTTATAAAGTAGAAATACATTAATTCCCTTTTTGTTTGATGAAAGTAATAATCTTCCTTCAAATGTGATTTAACACGGAGGAAGGTTGACTGGTTTATTAATACTGAATGATTATTTCAGTCAGTGCTAGATGAGATGATGGTGGAACAAACAGATCTTGTGCGCTTGCGAATGGTTAGAATGTCCAATGTGCCAGACACACTCTACATGGTCAATAATGCCGTGCCACAGTGTTGTCACATGATCAGCCACCAGCAGATCAGCAGCAACCAGTCAAGCCCTCCTTCAGTTGTAGCCAATGAAATTCCAGGTAAGGCAGTATGTTGGGTGTTTATATTTAAATGAATAATCTTATTATTTTTTGAAATTGCTGATGTTTGAACCCCCCTGTATATGCTAATTATCTCCACATTTCAATACCCGTTATGCTTTGTTCTTCTTAAAGAATAAATACTTATGGGAGATGGCAGGCTAGGGGAGGGATAGCATTAGGAGAAATACCTAATGTAGATGACGAGTTGATGGGTGCAGCAAACCACCATGGCACAGGTATACCTGTGTAACAAACCTGCATGTTCTGCACATGTATCTCAGAACCTAAGAGTATAATTAACAAAAAGAAATACTTATAAGCTAAAACTTTTGCTTTATATTTTATTTTATACTACTAAGTGTATGCAGGTTATCAGTTTACCCTTGAGTTTCTCAGCCTTGGTCTTATTGACATTTGGGGCTGGATTATTCTGTTAATAGAGAGCTGTCCTGTGCTTTGTAGGGTGTTCAGCTGCATCCCTGGCCTTTACTCCCTAAATGCTAGGAGCACATATGTGCATGCACACACACCTTTGTGAAAACCTTTTGGAAACATTTTTACGTTTCTAGACATTGCCAGTTGTGACCTGTGGGACAAAGACACCCATTTTGAGAACCACTGGTTTAGAGGAATTCAGACTTTTTGACCACTATAGGGTATTTCTTAGGTTATAAGACCTTTTGGGAGGGTCATATGCACTTACTTTACCTCTTAGTCCATGGCCTTCCAAAATGTGATCACTGTGGGTTTCCTAGAAATCCAGTTTCCCAAGTTCTGCTCTGTGAAGTTTACTATAGCACAGGTTTATATGTTGTATGACTTTAGGGGAATTGGCCATCAATCAGGGTATAACTGTCATGTCCAAAAACGTTTGAGCATTAGTTAATGTTGACTTTAACCAAAGAAAAAAAAAGCAACAAACCAAAAAAACCAACAGTGATCTGGTGGTCAGAAACTTGTAGCACTTGCTAATCGCCATTGCAAGATTCAAAATAAAAACCAGCAAACTATAGCAGTGGAAATAGCACTTATTTATTTCTGCTTATAAATGTCTATTGTAATTAAAGATGAATAAAAGACAGTGACAGAACTTTTAAGTGAATACATATATTTTGTTCTGGAGCTAATGACTTTCTTCAGTTGTTACCTTATCAAATTGGCCACTAGTTGAAATACACATTAGTTGACAACATGAACTATTTCTTTAGCTGATTTATGCAGATTTTGAAGCTTTGCTAATTATCATGGCTTTTTAGGCTTGAGTTAATGCAGTTGAATATCAGCATAATTTAGAACTCAGTCTCAAAAGTCTAGACAGTCTCAAGTAAGTATGCTCAGAAAAATAAGACTTGTCTCTGTTGTTTGGCTAATGAGGTCTGGCCCTATTCCGGTATCATCCTGGGTTCTTCTCACTTCCTTGCCCACCACATTCATGAAAGGATAGCTGTCTTGTTCCAGAGGATTCGGGGGCTCATATCCTGGCTCTGTTACTTTGTATGACTTTGGACAAGGTATTAATATTTTCTTTCCCAAACATTAATTTCCTCATCCATGAATTGGGGCTAATACGTTCTCTCTAGAGTTGTGAGGATTTAATGAAGCACCGCAGATAATATGCAGAGGAGTTTGCCTGGCTTAGAGTAAGCACTCAGTAAACGCTAGTCCCTTTTATCCCTAAAAAATAGTAATCACTGCCCTAGTCAGTTTCTCTCATAAATATTTATAGACTCCATCCCCTCTCCAACCCTACAGCTATAGCCGTAGTTCAGGTTTCTAACCAATGTTCCTGCCTCTCATCTTACTCAAAATTCTGTTCTTTACACCAGTGGTCGGCCAGCGTACTTCTTCCAGAAAGGGCCAGATAATAAATACTTTAGTTTCTGTATGCCATACACTCTCTGTTATATCCATCTACTCAACTCCCATACAACAGCCATAGACAGTACCTAAATGAATGGATACAGTTACATTCCAGTAAAACTTTATTTACAAAGGCAGACAGCAAGCTTGATTTAGCCTACCAGCCACAGCGTGCCTGCCCATTTTATACCAGCATCAGAGTGCACTTGTTCACAGCTCTGATCCTGTCATCCTCCTGCACAAGTCACTGCCTGTCGTGCACAGGATACAATTTAAATTCTTTATCCATGATCTGCTAGTAGCCATCTTTCTGCCTTCTCTCTTCACATTCTTCCTGCTTATAGCTCTGAACCCTAAGTTCTGCTAGCCGTGCCAACCACTTCTGCCAGGCTCTCTCTTACTGCATGTTTTACACATACCCAGTCCTTCTGCTCAGAAAGCTTTTTTTTTTTTGGCCTGTCTGGTTTCCCTTCATTCTTCAAGAATCTGCTCTGTGTACACCTTGAAGCTTTTCTTGTCTGCCCCCAGTCTGGCTGGATGCCCTTCTTCCCAGTCCTGCAGTTCTCTCCATGAGCATTTATGACCCTGTGTTGTATTGTTTACTTCTAGTTTAGTTTATATCACCAAGCCAGAACCTTTTGAGGAGAGTAATCATGTGTTTCATCCTGTGCACCCTAATATCCAAGTCCAATTCCTGATGCATAGTTAGGACTCAAAAAATTATTTGAACAAAAGAATTAATATATTTAAAGACTTCTGAAATATCTTGAGATTCAGATGAGAATACATGTAAGTAAAATTATATTTGAACTGTAAAATAATAAAACTTGGGCTGTTTGATATGATCAAGAGCCTTTTGGGCATAGTGAAATTTTAAAACCTTGAAAAATAATTCGAGGTATAAAATTAGTATGTTCCTAGAAAATTAAAATACTATCTAAAAAATGTATAAGATTCTAGTATGAAACATGCTTTTTTCCCTTGGGCTCACGGGGTCATCTTCTGTGTAGCTCAGGAATTTCGCTTGCCCACTGTTTTTCTCCTTCCAGTTCCTCGTCTCCTCATTATGAAAGACATGGTCAGACGACTGCAGGAGCTGCGGCACACGGAGCAGGTGCAGAGGGCCTATGCGCTCAACTGCGGGGAGGGCGCCACTGTCAGCTATGAAATTCAGATTCGAGTACTGAGAGAGTTTGGTCTTGCAGATGCTGCTGCAGAGCTGTTGCAGGTAGGAAATGACATTAAACTGTTTAAAAGAGGGAGCCTCAGTCACCAGACAGGCAGTATTGTAGACATCCTGATGAGCCTTCAGCTTGCTTCCTTTTCTTTGTATGTGCTTTTTCACTGCCTTTGGTTGTCTTTGATAACCTGCAAGTCCCTCCTCGTGAGAGGCCGTGTCATGGAGTGAACTGAGCAGAGGTCTAGAATGAGAACTGGGTTTAGATCCCAGCTCTGCTGCTTATTAGTTGGTTAACTTGGAATGAGTTACTTAACCACCCTGGGCATCAGCTCTTTTACCTGTAAAACAGATAGTTTTGAAGATCCAGATTGCTACTGTACAGCAGCTATATATCTGGTATGAGGCAAGCATACACGTGGTGACTGCTAAAAAATTCATAGTGTGCATGCCCAGCAGAGATGGCCTGGAAATAGAAGATTCTGAACTTCCACTGCTGTCTCTTCCTCGTTTGGTCACTAAGTTTCAGGCTTGGTCTACTACCACGCTTACACATCTTCCATGTACCCCCTTTTGTTTCTCTCTTCCGTCTTATAAGAAATTTTTTCCATGAGGGTTCAAACCCAAACATGAGAATCAAAGAATAAGTGCTTTCTTTTTTAACCTACCAGGAAAAAAGGAAAAAACTCATTTCTAGTAATTATTAGATTAAAAGCAATAGCATTGGTTTTGCAATTAAGTTAGAATTTGTGAAGTAGTCTGATCACAGCCACTAAACCAGAGCCCTAAATAAAATTTAATTTCATCTGGTCAAGTGATTGATTTTCTTGCTACTAACTCCAAACCCCTTTAATCCTTACCCTTCAAAAGGATAGGATGTGGCCGGGTGCAGTGGCTCATGGCTAGAATCCCAGCTCTTAAGGAGGACAAGGTGGATGGATCAAGAGCCTAAAAATGTTCAGTAGAAAATTAGGCAAGCAGGGGGAAAAAAAGAACCTAAAAATAGTTTGCTGACTTGCTGAAGAACCCTGTACCATGCTTATCCATCCATTCATTCATTTAGTTATTGTTTTAAGACAAGGTTTCATTCTGTGGCCCAGGCTGGAGTGCAGTGATACAGTTATGGCTCACTGCAGCCCTGACCTCCTGGGTTCAAGTGATCTTCCCACCTAAGCCTCCCGAGGAACCAGGACTACAGGTGCATACAACTCACGATGCCTGGCTAATTTATTGTATTTTTTGTAGAGATAGGGTTTTTGCCATATTGTCCAGGCTAGTCTTGAACTTGAGCTCAAGCAATTTGCCCGCCTTGGCCTCCCAAAGTGCTGGGATTACAGGTGTGAGCCATTGCGTCCAGCCTATCCTTTTTTTTGGAGACAGAATCTTGTTCTGTCGCTCAGGCTGGAGTTAGTGGAGCAATCTCGGAGACTCACAGCAAACTCTACCTCCTGGGTGCAAGCAATTCTCTTGCCTCAGCCTCTCGAGGCTGGGACTACAGGCCTGTGCTACCACACCTGGCTAATGTTTACATTTTCAGTAGAGATGGGGTTTCACCATGTTGACCAGGGTGGTCTCGATCTCTTGACCTCGTGATCCACCCGCCTCGGCCTCCCAAAGTGCTGGGATTACAGGCGTGAGCCACCGCGCCCGGCCCTGTATTTTGTAGTTTTTATTTCAGACAGAGCAGGCACAGATGTTTTGTCAGAAAGTTTCTAGAGTATCCTCAGTTGTATTCCTTTCTTCCTTTGGCATTTAATGTTAATCTCTTAGCAAAGACATATTTGAGTTTGGGTTTATTACCTGTTTTTGCGTTATCACATAATTTTGCAAGAGATGACAGACCTGCTTGCTGGAGTATTCAGTCAAGCAGCTTTCTTTGATGACTGTGTCCTAGGTGGTACTCTGTGCCTTTATACTATAACTAAGGTGATATTTTTATTTGGGCTTCTGGCCTAGAAGAATATATTATGCTTTTTATTCTTGCTGACTGTGGTTTTCTTAAGTACCTCACTTAATTCTCTCAGCCTATAAATTTCCATTTATGAAATATGCTAATAAATGTCCTTTTTTTTTTTTTTTTTTTCTTTTTTAAATCTTAGAATCCTCACAAATTCTTTCCTGATGAACGTTTTGGGGATGAAAGTCCTCTCTTGACAATGAGACAGCCTGGGAGATGTCGTGTAAACAGTACCCCTCCTGCAGAAACCATGTTTACAGATCTGGACTCTTTTGTGGCCTTCCATCCACCCTTGCCTCCTCCACCACCTCCCTACCACCCCCCAGCTACCCCAATCCATAACCAGATCAAAGCAGGCTGGAAACAAAGACCTCCCAGTCAGCACCCTTCACGTTCATTTTCTTATCCCTGTAATCATTCGCTGTTCCACTCCAGAACAGCTCCTAAAGCTGGCCCTCCCCCAGTCTACCTGCCAAGTGTTAAAGCAGCGCCTCCTGATTGTACTAGCACTGCAGGACTGAGCAGACAGACGGTGGCTGCTGCCGCCACCACCACCACCTCAACAGCAGCAGCAGCAGCATCTGAGAAGCAAGTGGTAAGTCAACACTTCAGTAACTCGCTTCAAATTCAGTTTATGGACTATTAGAAGCAATTTCCTTGGCCCCAAGAGCTCCACTGAGACTCAGCAGTGCCCAGAGGATTGCTGACAAGCGGAAGGCATAGACTTGAGGGGTGTGGAAAAGAGGGAGAAACGCTAACGTACATGAATGAGAAAAGACAGGAGAGAGACCAGAGGTGTATATGGAGGAGTTGAGTATCTTCTTATCTTTGTGTTCATTTGCCAGGATTAGGAAGGAGTGGGGTTACTAAGCAGCATAAAGGAATATACCATTTTCATGTTCTATTCAAGCATGGGTCTAGAATTTGTCCCTAACTTCTACTATTCTGTAAAATCCACTATTGTACCACATACTTTAATGGGACAAGAATCAAGAGCGACTTATAGCTAAGTACAATATACCACCAGGAATAATGTGGAAAAAACTTTTCTTTTTGAGACAGTCTCACTCTGTCATCGCAGCTGCAGGGCAGTGGTGTAATCATAGCTCACTGCCGCCTTAACAACCTCCTAGGCTCAAGTGATCCTCCCACCTCAGCTCCATGAGTAGCTAGGACCACAGGCATGTGCTACCACATTCAGAAGATGGGCAGAAAATGAGGCCTCAAGCATGCCTCTGCCTCTGAAGCTCATCATCAGAGCCCCCACTTCACTTAGAATCACAGTAGCTAGGGCTGGTAGGTAGTAAATTGGTAGAGGATTCTTTGCTTGATTTTGCATGGCATTAGAGATTTTATATAATACACTTGAAAAAAATAGTAATTTTTTTTTTTTGGTCAGGTGCCATGGCTCACATCTCTAATTCCAACACTATAGGAGGCTGAAGGGGGAGGATCACTTGAGCCCAGGAGTTCAGAACCAGCCTAGGAAACATAGTGAGACCCCGATTCTACCAAATAAAAACAAATTAGCCAGGTGTGGTAGCACATGCCTGTAGTCCTAGCTACTCATGGGGCTGAGGTGGGAGGATCACTTGAGCCTAGGAGATTGTTGAGGCTGCAGTGAGCTATGATTACACCACTGCCCTGCAGCCGGGATGACAGAGTGAGACTGTCTAAATAAAAAAAAAAAAAAAAAAAAAAAAATTGATTTTGATTTTTTTTTTTTTTTTTTTTTTTTTTGAGACGGAATTTCGCTCTTATTACCCAGTCTGGAGTGCAATGGCACGATCTTGGCTCACCACAACCTCCGCCTCCCAGGTTCAGGCAATTCTCCTGCCTCAGCCTCCTGAGTAGCTGGGATTACAGGCACGCACCACCATGCCCAGCTAATGTTTTTGTATTTTTAGTAGAGACGGGGTTTCACCATGTTGACCAGGATGGTCTCGATCTCTTGACCTCGTGATCCACCCGCCTCGGCCTCCCAAAGTGCTGGGATTACAGGCTTGAGCCACCGCGCCCGGCCAAAAAATTGATTTTTAAGTCTTCCTATTGAGTCTTGTGCTATCAGTAGCAAGTTAGAAGAAAAGATTCACCTATTAGTTCAGGGAAGCTTCATTAAAATGTGGCTTATTGGAACCTGTGGACTAGTATATATCCTGAGCCAAGTTATGATCCTTTCTCAACTTTTCTTTTTAACATAACCTCAAGAATGTATTATCTTCACAGTGAAACAAAAGATGATGCTTAGAACTGGATCAATTGTCCCTTTCTCTTCTTATCTTCTCCAGGTTCAGCATGCTTGCATCTCTTAATAGCTAGCATTCTCTTAGATCTACAGTTGAGCTCAGCACTCAAGCTTCAGCACAATCTTCTTTGTAGTTTTCGTCTTTTTCTGGAAAATTGGGCTAGTCTGCCCACCATAGTCACTCTGCTTCCTATCATGCTGCTATCCCTGGGCATACAGAGAATCCTTGCCCTTCTTCTACTGTGTCACTTTGTGGGATTGGTGTTTGCCACACTTGTGACAGAAAGTCCAATGGGTTTTAGGAAGGCTCACCATGTTTGCAGGAGCACTGTTAGCACAGAAAGCCTCTCACCTCTCTACCTCTTCTACCTGCTTCCCCCACCCCAGAAGAGCGAAGGTCAGTAGTGTTTGATAAACCAGATTTCCATTCTGTTGCCCTGGGCCCTCAGTTCTATAATCACAGAAGTTCTACTACTTTATATTTTAAGTAAAACTCCTTTTAAAGGTAACTTATTTGTGTATTCATTGCAGTCTTGACTATAGTAATGAAAAATTGGAAACAACGTAAATGTCCAATAGTAGCTGAATGGTTAAGTCATGGTTCATCAATACATTGACAGTATTATATATGTGGTAAATTTCGTAAAAATTAATAGATAGCAAAGGAGAAAAACATAAAAAGAAAGACTTCAAAATGCTAACAGTGATATTTCTGTTCAAATGATTGCAGTGATTTTTCTTTTTTGCCTTTATAGCTTTCTGTATTTTTATATTTCTTAAATGTTCAGCACGTGTTACTTTTATAATTGGGAAACAAAATCGGTAGACATCATTTTTACAGAGGATGAGTCCTTTTCTTTAACCCTCCCACCATTTTTGTCTCTGTCTGCAGCGAACACAACCTGTGCTGAATGATCTGATGCCAGACATTGCTGTGGGTGTGTCCACACTGTCACTCAAGGAGAGGAGGCTTCCAGAGCTTGCTGTAGACACAGAATTAAGCCAGTCAGTTTCTGAAGCAGGACCAGGGCCTCCCCAGCATCTGTCATGTATTCCACAGAGGCATACACACACTTCTCGGAAAAAACACACACTAGAGCAAAAAACAGATGCCAGAGAAAATCCACAGGAATATCCGGATTTCTATGACTTCTCAAATGCTGCTTGTAGACCTTCTACTCCTGCTCCCGGCAGACGCACCCCGTCCCCTTCGCAAGGTGGATATTTTGGTCCCGATTTGTACAGCCACAGTAAGGCATCACCAAGTGGCTTGAAGTCAGCCTACCTACCTGGCCAGACGTCTCCTAAAAAACAGGAAGAAGCTAGGAGAGAATATCCACTTTCCCCTGACGGGCATCTGCACAGACAAAAGAATGAGCCGATACACCTGGACGTCGTCGAGCAGCCTCCCCAGAGGTCAGACTTTCCTTTGGCAGCCCCAGAAAATGCTAGTACTGGTCCAGCCCTTGTCAGGGGACGAACTACAGTAGAAACTGACTTGACTTTTGGGCTGACTCCTAACAGACCTTCACTTTCTGCATGTAGCTCTGAAGCTCCTGAAGAGAGATCCAGTAGAAGACTGGCAGACAGTGAGTCCCTGGGCCATGGAGCTCAGAGAAATACGGATTTGGAAAGGGAAGATTCAATAAGCAGAGGAAGGAGGTCACCAAGCAAGCCGGACTTCCTCTACAAAAAATCTGCCCTCTGAGAGCAACCTCCAAGTCGTCTGTGCCTGAGATGTGAAACATCCCATTTTATGATGTAACCCAACAACTTACAGACCAGTTTATCAACGCCAGCTGACAACTCAGTTTCACATTATTTTGGTCTAGTTTTTGTGTATATATGTGTTAGACATAGCATGCTAAGGAGGTTTTTTTTTTGAAATGTTGCATCTGTCTAATTTGTGTTTGAACAATTACGTCGGGAAGCATTTTTAAGAGTGAGCAAGCTGGCACTTTTTATTTCTCTTTACAAATGATGGAATTTTTTTGCACTTGTACATTTATTTTCTCTGTATTGATTTTATATTAGTATGTTAAACTTTATTGCCACATTTAAAGGACTGTATTTTCATACTTTTTTGCATTTTACCTTTCATCTACCAATCCATGTGCATTGGATTGCACACTGAGATGTATTTTCTTATGAAATAGTTCTGTGTTTATTTTTTAATTATAGAAATTCCAAAGAACAGCACATCAGAATGCTCCTCTCTTTTCAGTAATTGTTTCAGTTCAGAAATCTTCCCGCCCAGTCTCCATAAATCTAATGTCTTTTTTTTTTTTTTTTTTTTTTTTTTAACAAGTCCTGGGAGCTGGGCTTCATTCCTCCAGCGAGAGTCCAGTCAGGGTCCTGAAGTTTGCTGGTTCAGGAAAGAACAGGAAGGAGAAAAGCCTTCTGTGCCCAGGCTGAAGCTGTTCCATTTCCACAGTGTGGATGCAGTCAGAATCCCTGCACATTCTGGTCAGAGGGATTAGAGTGTCACCAGAAGAGGCTCTAAGGAGATCGGCTCCCTTGGAATTAGAAAGCAGTGGCGATGGGGCGCAGTTGCTCACACTTGTGATCGGCACTTCGGGAGGCCGAGGTGGGCGGATCACTTGAACTCAGGAGTTCAGGACTGGCCTGGGCAACATGGTGAAACTCCTTTTCTATAAAAAATGCAAAAAAAAAAAAAAAACCCTAGCCGGGTGTGGTGGTGTGCACCTGTAGTCCCAGCTACTTGGGGAGCTGAGGTGGGAGGATCACTTGAGTCCAGGAGGTTGAGGCTGCAGTGAGCCAAGATTGTACCACACCACAGCCCAGGCGCAGGAGGTTGAGGCTGCAGTGAGCCAAGATTGTACCACACCACAGCACTCCCGCCTGGGCAACATTGAGACCCTGTCTCAAAAAAGAAAAAAGGGGCAGTGGAAATAATGAAATAACTTAAAGGTCACACTGACAGTTTCTAGTTGAGCGTCAACTCTCCAGTTGCTTGCAGTGGGGGAACTGACTGCTCGCTGCCTTTAATTGTCCTGCTCTCTATGGGGAAAAAAAAGGGCTTCAGTCTTATAGATGTTATTTGGTGTTTGTAAACATATATTTTCTTTTAAATGATTTTCAAAGTATGTCTAAATTTTGGTATCCTATAAACAGTTGTTGTATAATGCATAGTGCTTTCTCACCAACAGAAGAAAGGAAAAAAATTGTTTTCAGTTAAACACTACATGTCCTACTTGAACTCCACTGGGATGCTGGTTTGGCATTTACTAAACCACTGAGCACATGGGGTCTTTCAATATCCTCTCCCTTGGAAGGGCAATGTGTGAGCTAAGGACTGTTTTTTTCTTACTCTCCAATGTAAATATATTAGTATTTGAGTTTTTAAATCACTTCAACATTATTTGAGCATTTACTTTGTATTTTTACAAACACATAAACACACAGCCGTAGCACTTAGAAGAAAAGAGGTTTTCTAAACATTCCTTGATACGGAGGATATTTGGGAGCCTCTTTTCTATATATGTATATATATAAAAAAACTATGAATCACTCACACTCACTCTAAAACTATGCAGGGCTAGGGAGCCTTTACGAGCTACCACATAAATGAATTACATGCACTTTGAAGTAAATAGGTTTTCTATTGGATGTCAACAACTCTGCTTTCTCCCAAAACTATAGTTTCTCTTATGCTCTTTTCCTCCTTTACCCTGTGGATATACACTCAGGAATAATCTGACATTTTAGAAAACCCTGACAGTAGATAGTCTCCAAGAGGGGAAACATACTGCGTGTCTGCACGCACCGGTGGCAAACTGCCGCCAGTCGTTCTGCTGCCTGACTAGTCAGCTGCTGTGCTGGTGCACTCGGGGATGCTGGTGGTTGTACACGCCCCCAAGCTCCCAGAGTTAACACTAATCTGCAGGTCGGCTGTGCGTCGCATTTGAGCCTCGTTTTTTAAAGAGAAAAACATAGGCCTCTGTTCTCACTTATAAGAGGTTTGACTCATAATAGACGATAGTGTCTTTTGAAGTCCAGTCTGTCTTCAGAAACAAAAGCGAAGGCCATCTTATTCCTTAATGTGTGTTTCTCTTATCACATATGTATGTTGACACGTTCATGTTTTGATACAGTTTTATATTTCTATTCTGAATCAGACCGTACTGCGCCAGTGCCGCAAGGAAGAATCAGTAGACCTAATTTGGATGGGGAGAAAAAGTCTTATCCCTGACCTGTTTTGGTTTTTTTTCCAAATGTTAAACCAGAGCTGTTGATCCCACACATTCATTTTTCTGAAAATTTATGAACTATTCTCATATCCCTGAAATATAACTATAAAAATAGGTGGCCACTATTCTTGATTATTTAGTTTATGAAGTTTGCTTTTAATCATACAGTAGCTTACCTGGCTAAACTATGTGTATAAAGGGAAAACTTGCTTTAATCCATGGGATCTCGGACCAATGTGACTTGCGGAAGGTAAACAGGTGTGGGTTTTGTGTGTGTTAGGTTAGGTGTTAGTAAGCTTTTAATGTATCTGGTGAAGTATGGTTACTAGGGTAGGTTGAAGAGCTGTGTGCCTCTGGCTTTCCAGCCCATCTAGTAAATCTTTTTTAATGCTGTACTAAGATAAATGTGAAGTCTGAGTAAGGTTGCTCTCAGAAGAAAAAAGCATATATATGTATAATATAAAATTTAGGCCATGGGAACTGTCATTTTACTTGGTATAGGATTTTAATGAGAACCAAATCACAAAAATACCAGATCTCATTTTGAGGTCATGGACAATCAGGCTGTTTGGACAATCACCACTTCCAGTGTCTGCTGTGCGTTGAGGATAGAGAACTACCATTTACATGCCAGGGCCAAGAGAGGACATTGAAGTTTCTTAAACATGCTGTTGGTCTTTTTCTTATGTTATTGTTTTAGTTTTGTGATTTTGATGAATAATTTAAGTTCAGAGTCACTGGTGGCTTCTAAGAAAAAAACAGCAGCATGAAAGGCAAAAAGTATTTCAAACATAGTTGTGTAAATTTTCCACGCCCATTGTTTAGCTCACATGCCGCCTTTAGCTTTATTTCTGGGAACATGTCCTTAGACCCCAGCTAGCCTGACACTGCAATAACCCGTTAGGCTTTAAGGCTTTTCAGTGAATTCTTGACATTTCAGTGTTCTTATGGAATTCTTTATGAAACCTTACCTAAGTCTTGTTTTTGCTTCCTCAGAAACTTTTTATTACACCTGCCATCCTTCATTGGATTTTTCTTTTGGTTTGTTGTTGATGTCCTAGCAATGAGCTTAGTCCTTGTACATCTGCATGAAGATGCCGAAGGCGAAGCGGAAGCTCGCGCCGCGGCAGTGGGGCTCACAGCCGGTGCGCATCGTTTACTTTAGAGTTGAAAGGATTGACATGTCTCAGTAACTACCCAGCAAAATACATATTTTCATAATGTTTAATTTGCCTTTTAGAAAAAAAAATGTTTCATGAAACACTTGTAAGATACTTATCTTGAAATTAGCTACAAGGCATTCATGTTTTTAGGACTGAATTCAAAGGGAAATGCTTCTTTGACATTTTTTCATTGTTCAGTTGACTTTCAGCTTTCTGTACTGAGGATTAAAGCAGCAGTGATGGGTGCTATTCCCGGTTCTGCAGTGGTTTACTTTGTCTACTAAGTGATTTACTTTTAAACCTCATTACCGATAATCTTACAAAAGACTTAACATGCACACTGCTAAAAGGTGTTTTACTGTTTTCCATTAACAGTGTTGTATGAGCAATGTTTGGTGACATGTTGTCTCTTTGTCCTGTAGATTGTCGTATCTGTTACGTAGCTATTGTATTGGCAAGTCCTTTGCTTTTTTTTCCTCTAGAAAATCCTCAGACTGTCAGTCTCATATACTGAGTATTATAATGCTGTGGCCGTTTCTATAGAAAGACAACTTGGAAGTGTGTGTCTTGAAAATAACTTCTTGTGTTTGTGTGTTTGTGTGAGTTCTAAGAGGTCAGATAAGCTCTGGAAGCTCCATTGTCTACCTGCACGTGACTCTGTATCTGGGTTACATGGGCAGGCAGCACCAAGTCCTGCTCTTAGATGGGGTGGCTGAGAGAGAAAGGTTCCTGAACTCTGCTTGCTGTGTATGCACCACATCTGTACACAGAAAGGCGGAAAACCATCTACAACACTGCATTTCTTGTGGTTGTGCTGTTACTGGTATAAAGTCAAGTGCCTTCAATGCTAAAGGCTCAGAAATTTTTCTTAAACTGATTTCATGTCCTATGCAAGTGTTTTCTACAACCTGCATAACCAGTACTTTGTAAAACTTGTTTACGCTTCAATTGTACATAGTGATTTTTAAAGAAATATATAGTATTTTTATTTAGGTACCTCCAAACTTGAATTCGTCTGTGTGAAGCATTGTAAAACGATACATTTCTCTTTTGAGTACCATTACAGTTGTACAGAGGTTTTCACTGCTTCTATTTTTCTACTGTTACTGATGAGCATGTAACACTGACTTTATCCTACATATAGTTGGCATTTCAAATAAATGGCTTGTATAGAATCTGCTGAGTTGGATACAGTCTGTTTTAGCAGTGTAGCATATAGTCTTCAATTACAGAAGTGATTGCACCCCTGGAGGGTAGAAGTGGGAGGTTTTCTAGGCTGATTTTCTCTGTTTCTAGAATTTCAATCACTCAGAGGCATTTATCATCATCATCATCATCATAGTTTTCTTGGAAATCACACATTTTATTCTGAATCATCAAGCTCATTATTTTCTATTATTGAGACATTTCTGATAAATTTTATTTTGCAAATTTGAGCAAAAAGTTCCGCACAGGGGTCTGTACAGGATGGCAGGAAGCTCAGCCTGGTGCCCTTGTG